GTTGAGTGATCCATCTTGAAGCCTGACTGGTTAGGGTCAAGAAGATTGTTCAGAGGGAGATAACGAGAAAGTTGATCAGAGACAGCACGCTCAAGGGTTTGGAAAGAAAAGAAAGAAGGGATACAGGTCTATAGTTTTTAATTTTTTACGTCAGATGAGTCGATTGTTGGTTTATTGAGGAGGGGAGCAACTCGGGCCATTTTGAAGACAGAGGGGATGTAGCCAGTGGTCAGGGATGAGTTGATGAGAGAAGTGAGGAATGGAAGAAGGTCTCCAGAGATAGTCTGGAGAAGGGAGGAGGGGATGGGGTCGAGCGGGCAGGTTGTCGGGCGGCCAGAACTCTTTAGTCACAGGATGTCATCTGGAGAGAGAGGGGAGAAAGAGGTCAAGGCATAGGGTAGTTCTGTGTAAATGAGACCAGTGGACTCAATAGGCTGAGTGAATGAGTAGCGGATGTCGCCTTTCCACCTTTTTTCAAAGTGATTGACAAAGTAATCCGCAGAGAGGGAGGAGGGAGGGGGTGAAGGATTAAGGAGGGAGGAGAAGGTGGAAAAGAGTTTCCTAGGGTTAGAGGCAGAAGCTTGACATTTAGAGTGGTAGAAAGTGGCCTTAGCAACATATACAGAGGAAGAGAAGGTAGAGAGGAGGAGTGAAAGAAGGATAGGTCCTACGGAAGTTTAGTTTTCCTCCATTTTCGCTCAGCTGCCCACAACCCTGTTCTGTAAGCTCGCAATGAGTCACTCAGCCACGGAGCAGGAGGGGAGGGCCGACCCGGCCGGGAGGAAAGGGGACAGTGCGAGTCATAGGATGCGGAAAGGGACGAGATTAGGGTCAAAGAGGCAGAATCAGGAGACAGGAGGAAGAAGGATTTAGCAAAAGGGAGAGATGATAGGATAGAAAAGGAGAGAGTAGTGGGAGAGTGAAGGTGCTACGACGCATGACCGTCTGGGTAGGGGCTGAGTGGTTAGGGTTGGAGGAAAGGGAGACAGAAAAGGAAACAAAGTATCAATCAATCAATCAATTTTATTTTATATAGCCCTTCTTACATCAGCTAATATCTCGAAGTGCTGTACAGAAACCCAGCCTAAAACCCCAAACAGCTAGTAATGCAGGTGTAGAAGCACGGTGGCTAGGAAAAACTCCCTAGAAAGGCGAAAACCTAGGAAGAAACCTAGAGAGGAACCAGGCTATGAGGGGTGGCCAGTCCTCTTCTGGCTGTGCCGGGTGAAGATTATAACAGAACCATGCCAAGATGTTCAAAAATGTTCATAAGTGACAAGCATGGTCAAATAATAATCAGGAATAAATCTCAGTTGGCTTTTCATAGCCGATCATTAAGAGTTGAAAACAGCAGGTCTGGGACAGGTAGGGGTTCCATAACCGCAGGCAGAACAGTTGAAACTGGAATAGCAGCAAGGCCAGGCGGACTGGGGACAGCAAGGTGTCATCATGCCCGGTAGTCCTGACGTATGGTCCTAGGGCTCAGGTTCTCGGAGAGAAAGAGAGAACGAGAGAATTAGAGAGAGCATACTTAAATTCACACAGGACACTGGATAAGACAGGAGAAGTACTCCAGGTATAACCAACTAACCCCAGCCCCCCGACACATAAACTACTGCAGCATAAATACTGGAGGCTGAGACAGGAGCGGTCCGGAGACACTGTGGCCCCATCCGAAGAAACCCCCGGACAGGGCCAAACAGGAAGGATATAACCCCACCCACTCTGCCAAAGCACAGCCCCCGCACCACTAGAGGGATATCCTCAACCACCAACTTACAATCCTGAGACAAGGCCGAGTATAGCCCACAGAGGTCTCCACCACAGCACAAACCAAGGGGGGGCGCCAACCCAGACAGGAAGATCACGTCAGTAACTCAACCCACTCAAGTGACGCACCCCTCCCAGGGACGGCATGAAAGAGCACCAGCAGGCCAGTGACTCAGCCCCTGCAACAGGGTTAGAGGCAGAGAACCCCAGTGGAGAGGGGAACCGGCCCGGCAGAGACAGCAAGGGCTGTTCGTTGCTCCAGAGCCTTTCCGTTCACCTTCACACTCCTGGGCCAGACTACACTCAATCATATGACCTACTGAAGAGATAAGTCTTCAGTAAAGACTTAAAGGTTGAGACCGAGTCTGCGTCTCTCACATGGGTAGGCAGACTGTTCCATAAAAATGGAGATCTATAGGAGAAAGCCCTGCCTCCCGCTGTTTGCTTAGAAATTCTAGGGACAATTAGGAGGCCTGCGTCTTGTGACCGTAGTGTACGTATTGGTATGTACGGCAGGACCAACTCGGAAAGATAGGTAGGAGCAAGCCCATGTAACGCTTTATAGGTTAACAGTAAAACCTTGAAATCAGCCCTTGCCTTAACAGGAAGCCAGTGTAGGGAAGCTAGCACTGGAGTAATATGATCAAATTTCTTGGTTCTAGTCAGGATTCTAGCAGCCGTATTTAGCACTAACTGAAGTTTATTTAGTGCTTTATCCGGGTAGCCGGAAAATAGAGCATTGCAGTAGTCTAACCTAGAAGTAACAAATGCATGGATTAATTTTTCTGCATCATTTTTGGACAGAAAATTTCTGATTTTTGCAATGTTACGTAGATGGAAAAAAGCTGTCCTTGAAACAGTCTTGATATGTTCGTCAAAAGAGAGATCAGGGTCAAGAGTAACGCCGAGGTCCTTCACAGTTTTATTTGAGACGACTTTACAACCATCAAGATGAATTGTCAGATTTAACAGAAGATCTCTTTGTTTCTTGGGACCTAGAACAAGCATCTCTGTTTTGTCCGAGTTTAAAAGTAAAAAGTTTTCAGCCATCCACTTCCTTATGTCTGAAACACAGGCTTCTAGCGAGGGCAATTTTGGGGCTTCACCATGTTTCATTGAAATGTACAGCTGTGTGTCATCCGCATAGCAGTGAAAGTTAACATTATGTTTTCGAATAACATCCCCAAGAGGTAAAATATATAGTGAAAACAATAGTGGTCCTAAAACGGAACCTTGAGGAACACCGAAATGTACAGTTGATTTGTCGGAGGACAGACCATTCACAGAGACAAACTGAGGGGGGGGTTGCAGAGACCTGGAGGGGGGTTGCAGTGAGATTAGTAGGTGAGCAGCCTCTAGTAAAGATGAGGTCAAGGGTATTCCCTGTCTTGTGAGTTGGAGGGGATTGGGAAAGGGTGAGGTCAAAAGAGGCAAGGAGGGAAAAGAGAGTTTGAAAGAAATGAATCGAAGGCAGACATCGGGAGGTTGAAGTCACCAAGTACGAAGAGCGGTGAGCCATCGTCAGAAAATGAGCTTATCAAGGTGTCATGCTCATTGAGGAACTCTCCAAGGGCACCTGGTTGGCGATAGATGACAATAATGTTAAGCTTGAGTGCACAAGTGACAGTGACAGCATGGAATTCAAATGAGGAGATGGACAGGTGAAAGAGGGAGAAAAGAGAAACTCTCCACTTAGGAGAAATGAGTAGACCTGTGCCACCACCGCGACAACCAGATGGTCTCGGACTATGAAAGAATACATAGTCAGCTGAAGAAAGCACAGCTGGAGTAGCAGTGTTCTCTGGGGTGACCCATGTCTCCGTCAGGGCCAAAAAGTCAAGGGACTGAGGGGCAGCATAGGCTAAGATGAACTCGCCGTTCTTGACTGTAGATCGGCATTTCCAAACGCTGCCCGAGACCTGGAATTCCACATGGGTTTTGACGCAGGGTACACTAAATTAGAAGGGTTGCAGCCAAGGGGTGGGGAGGATCTGTAAAGCCTACAGGGAGAGGTCTGAACAGGTATAGAAAACACACGACAGCGTGTTCCAGTTCCTGCCAATATCCAGTAACTTCCCACAGCCATTGAAGAGGAGTTTGACAACATTCCACAGGCCAACAGCCTGATCAACTCTATGCGAAGAAGATGTGTCGCGCTGCAGACCGGATACTGACTGGTATTCTAATCCACGCCCCTACCTTATTTTTCAAGGCACAGTATCTGTGACCAACAGATGCATATCACTAACTGTAAGTCGCTCTGGATAAGAGCGTCTGCTAAATGACTAAAATGTAAATGTAATGTAAATGTATTCCCCAGTCATGTGAAATCCATAGATTAGGGTCTAATGAATTAATTTCAATTTACTTCTTTCCTTATATGAACTGTAACTCAGTAAAATCTTTGAAATTGTTGCATGTTGCGTTTATATTGTTCAGTGTAGTTATTCCTTGTCTCTTTGTGTTAGGCAAGCTGAGCAGTCAGTGTGGAACAAACCAATAGTTCCATCTGATTGATCATGCATGTGAACTACAGTATAGGGAAAATACATGATGCTGTGGATTTCTTTTTCAAGCTGTTCAGAGAGAGATGATCACTATCGGTAAACCACTTAGGTTATGGCGACAACAGTGTCTTATCATGGATCAAGCAAGACATTTTTTATTCTAGCAGGTCCATAAGCTGCCATCTGCAAAGTCCAGCCCAAGATAAATTAATATGCCGTCTCTCCCCACTGTCACTAATGCTATGTAAATCCCTGCAGACAGGAACATCTGTCCCATAAATATATCATTATCTCACAGACCCACCATGCTTGCCCACAAACACGTCCTCCGGTCCTGTCCTATCAGTGGCAGACAATACTCAGTCATTAGACAATATTCAATCTGAGAGTAGAGTATTTGCAGGGTATTATCAATATTATTATGGCAGGATAATTTGCATCACATTCACCGTCTGTTTCTCAGATGATCACCTGCCCTCAGTGAACACCTTTAGCTCAATTAACTGGTAGATCAAAGCGCTTCAGATTCACTGTGATTGTCTTTTAAACAGACCGGAACACATTAATGGACTAAATAGAATAGCTGGATTCAACGATGAGGATCCAGGCAGGGGAATTCTATCCAAATTGGTTTCCTAGTAGGCTTCTTGATGATGTGCATCCACAGCCTGTTGTCTGTTTTAAATAGAAGCACAAAGCATTGCCTTTTATAGTAGTCCCACTATTGTTGGCAGCATTGTAGTCAGGGAGGGGGTAAGGATGACACCTGGACAGAGAGAATAAAGGGCCCCAGCCACTCCAGAACATCTCTACCCAGAGTGTGTTACCCTCTGCAGTGTCATTCCTCCTGTGTCCCCTGTGTGTAGTCGTGCATCTCGGTCCTCACAATGGCGCCCAAGAAGAAGGAAGAGCCCAAAGAAGTACCCAAACCCAAGGCCCCAGAGCCTGAGCCAGTCAAGATCCCGGAGTTTAACCCCACAGAAGTCGTGGTACAGAAAACTAATATTTTCACTTTGGTTTGCAGGAAGAAGGAAATAGGGAAAATATGATGAGCTTTGGATGTGGGTGTTGGATGTGGGTGTTGGATGGGGGAAACATCAATATGACAATGTTTTTTTAAATTATTTGTTGTCTTCGAATGATTTGTTTATTAGGGATTTATTCAAGATTAAGAAGGTGTGTTAATCATGTATTTATTAGATGCTAAAATCGTAACTGGGCTATCATACGGCACATCATTTTTCTATCATATGGGTGAGGTTCCATTATTTTTGTGCTCATCAAATTGATAAGAAAAATGTAATACTCTTTATCTCAACATCAAGCCATCTATCCACTTGAGGGAAAAACTGACCTTTCAAGGAGATGGAAATAACAGTTTGGTCTTCCATTGATAGTCATCTGTCTTTTTCAAGAACATTAGAGACACCATGTGACGTGAACAGTGCAGTGCATGCAAATAGGAGTCCTACAGTTCAGCAGTTTGGACATGGTTTGATTAAAGGTCCAATGCAGCCGTTTTTAAGTCAATATCAAATAATTTCTGGGTAACAATTAAGTACCTTACTAACCACGTTTCCATCCACAGTTTGTATGCGAATAAAGTCATACCATATATAAAAGCAAGTCACAACAGCTGTGATGGAAACAGATAGTTTCGGTACAATTCTGTAAATGCAGACAGATAATTTGTTCATATTGAAGTAAACTTGGAGTCACGCAATGATTTTCCTCCTACTATGATTCGGGAAACCATGCAGTTTTTTAGGCTACAGATTAAATAAATTAAGATGAACTTCACAGGGTGGTGAAAGTGCATGGTAATGAGCTTGATGCTCCTTTTCAACAAATAGCGAGGGTATTATTCTGGTGACATGATGATTGATGCTTGACTGCCGTTTGACAAATAAACATATTCTCGTTCTTATCCATAATAACCTTATCATGTAGACCACCCTACTCGCTCAGCCTATATCTGTGAACTGTTGGCTAAAGCGCATGTGCAAAGACCAGAGCAGGCAAATTCTTTCTTTTTTTTGTGACAAAACTATCGGTGGAGTTGAACATGTGATGGAAACACATTGAACTTTAGATTTGTATTCGGTACATGAAAACGTAAGCAAAAAATAATATTGTTTGCATTACATCATCACTCACTGACTTTTATCCGCAACAAGTCAGTTTGGTGGAAACACACCACTGGAGGGAAAAGGCGCATATTTTGGAATATTCGCATGAAGATCTGTCACCGGCCTCCCGAGTGGCGCAGTAGTTGAAGGCACTGCATCGCAGCGCTAGAGGCGTCACTACAGATCCAGGTTCAATCCCGGGCTGTGCCGCAGCCGGCCGTGACCGGGAGACCCATGAGGCGGTGCACAATCGGCCCAGCGTCGGCCGGATTAGGGGAGGGTTTAGCCGGCTGGGATGTCCTTGTCCCATTGCACTCCAAGCTGTACGGTGCTTCCTCCATTATCACAATTTCACAGTATTATTCCAACCTCATATTGTGGAAATATATATAAAATCACATTTTTGAATGCACTGGTCCTTTAAAGATAAGATAATACCAGTAGCATGACGGATTTAAGAGCAACAATGATCATTAACATGACATGCAAATATCTACATGCATTTCAAGACCTTTACAGAGTATCTTCATACTATTATTTACCATTACAAGTCACATTATTTTGTACATAAGCAACAGTAGCTTGAACTTGATGGAGTTTAAAGTTGGTAGAATATTGGCTTATACAAGACAAAGTTTGGGTCTTGCTGACTCTGCCTCTTCTATATAGGTACATGTTTTTCATGGTTGAGGGAACAGCTGTATAATGTAGTGAGGTTAAAGCCACACAATGTGATTTTAATTATAGCCATGCATAGCAGACCACCCAAATAGGAATGCCTTATTTGTGCATAAAAATAAGAAAAAAGTGCAAAGATAAATACATATATTTCTAACCAAGGCCATGTATTTTAAAACATGCTAAAGTTAGGGGTTTGAAAATATTGTTGCACAAATCCAACATACACAATAGGAAAACCGTCAAGAGAGGTTACGATTGTGAACATGTGTAAGAGGAACGTTCCTTTCCTATCCTCATTACATGAAGGATTTCAAATGAATATAAATAGGATTTTAATACAATTTTAGGTTAGACCTTTGACGTTTTTCAGATAACCTGAAAGGTTGGTGAAGCACAATTACATTTTCATGTCCTTCTCCTCCTATTCTCCACCATTTCCCGTTCACTTTACATTAAGGTTTGTACAGAGTAACTTAAGTGACTTAACCCTGACCTCCTTCATCAGCAGTAAAATGCTGACCCTATTAATACTGCACTTCTTCTCTGTGCTGGTGAAGTGTCATTTAATAATTTACATGACACGTGTAACCTCCATCCTACACATCATCTTGTGTTAGGACAACAGAGACGGTGTCAAACGTAGACAGTAAAAGCAGTCGGTCAAATACATGTGCCAGTCAGCAGGAGGCATGTGTGAGAAGGATGTGCCTGATTGGTCAGCCATCAATCGACACTAACCAAGCCCTGGCTTTAGATGCCTGGAATAAGTAGAGTGTAACTGGAGCCTGATGAATCTCTATAGTGTTTGGACACCTGATAGTGTGGGCAGCATAATAGGGTGTGTGGGTGGGATACTACTACCATCAAGGCCAAAGAGTCATGCCTTATGTATTTGACTTCAGTTTTATAAAGTCATTTTCACTGTTGCTCACAACATGCAGTTAACTATGTTGTTGGCCATTTTAAGTCACTACTTTATGTCCACGTCCTGAACCAAATTGTTTATTTTGTTTTTCCTTTCAGCTTGAATTCACTCCTGAGCAGATTGAGGGTAAGATTGAGATTGTAGTTACAGTTGTGACTTGGAATGGTACACTTATTATAACAGAGGTTGTTTTGGGGTTGCATTTTAGTATTTTAGTATTTTCGAACATGAGAATACCAAGAAGTGCCTTATACAGTTGAGATGACTAATTGGAGACTGTTGGCATTTGATAGGCTGAGAGTTTGTTCTCTAGTCATTAGCAAATTAAATTGATGGTTTGTGGAAGTGTTCTGAGTGCAACAATATCAACTTACATCAATTTACAATGTTGTGTGACCGATGACAACAATGATAACATTTATCCATCGACAGTATTGTTTTTAAGTGGTCAGATGTACATGAAAGTGCAAGAAATACAGTGGCTTGCAAAAGTATTCACCCCCTTTGGCATTTTTCCTATTTTGTTGCCTCACAACCTGGAATTAAAATAAATTGTTTGGGGGTTTGTATCATTTGATTTACACAACATGCCTACCACTTTGAAGATGCAAAAATATTTTTTATTGAAACAAACAAGAAAACTTGAGCATGCATAACTATTCACCCCCCCAAAGTCAATACTTTGTAGAGACACCTTTTGCAGCAATTACAGCTGCAAGTCTCTTGGGGTATGTCTCTATAAGCTTGGCACATCTAGCCACTGGGATTTTTGCCCATTCTTCAAGGCAAAACTGCTCCAGCTCCTTCAAGTTGGATGGGTTCCGCTGGTGTACAGCAAACTTTAAGTCATACCACAGATTCTCAATTGGATTGAGGTCTGGGCTTTGACTAGGCCATTCCAAGACATTTAAATGTTTCCCCTTAAACCACTCAAGTGTTGCTTTAGCAGCATGCTTAGGTTCATTGTCCTGCTGGAAGGTGAACATCCGTCCCAGTCTGAAATCTCTGGAAGACTGAAAGAGGTTTCCCTCAAGCATTTCCCTGAATTTAGCGCCATCCATCATTCCTTCAATCTGACCAGTTTCCCAGTCCCTGCCGATGAAAAACATCCCCACAGCATGATGCTGCCACCACCATGCTTCACTGTGGGGATGGTGTTCTCGGGGTGTTGAGAGGTGTTGGGTTTGCGCCAGACATAGCGTTTTCCTTGATGGCCAAAAAGCTCAATTTTAGTCCCATCTCACCAGAGTACCTTCTTCCATATGTTTGGAGAGTCTCCCACATGCCTTTTGGCGAACACCAAACGTGTTTGCTTATTTTTTTTCTTTAAGCAATGGCTTTTTTCTGCCCACTCTTCCGTAAAGGCCAGCTCTGTGGAGTGTACGGCTTTAAGTGGTCCTATGGACAGATACTCCAATCTCCGCTGTGGAGCTTTGCAGCTCCTTCAAGGTTATCTTTGGTCTCTTTGTTGCCTCTCTGATTAATGCCCTCCGTGCCTGGTCCGTGAGATTTGGTGGGCGGCCCTCTCTTGGCAGGTTTGTTGTGGTGCCATATTCTTTCCATGTTTTTATAATGGATTAAATGGTGCTCCGTGGGATGTTCAAAGTTTCTTATATTTTTTTATAACCCAACCCTGATCTGTACTTCTCCACAACTTTGTCCCTGACCTGTTTGGAGAGCTCCTTGGTCTTCATGGTGCCGCTTGCTTGGTGGTGCCCCTTGCTTATTGGTGTTGCAGACTCTGGGGCCTTTCAGAACAGGTGTATATATACTGAGATCATGTGACAGATCATGTGACACTTAGATTGCACACAGGTGGACTTTATTTAACTAATTATGTGACTTCTGAAGGTAATTGGTTGCACCAGATCTTATTTAGGGGCTTCATAGCAAAGGGGGTGAATACATATGCACGCACCACTTTTCCGTTATTTATTTTTTAGAATTTTTTGAAACAAGTAATTTTTTTCATTTCACTTCACCAATTTGGACTATTTTGTGTATGTCCATTACATGAAATTCTAATAAAAAACAATTTAAATTATGGGTTGTAATGCAACAAAATAGGAAAAATGCCAAGGGGGATGAATACTTTTGCAAGGCACTGTAGGTCCTTGTAGCTCAGTTATAATAATAATAATAATATGCCATTTAGCAGACGCTTTTATCCAAAGCGACTTACAGTCATGCGTGCATACATTTTTGTGTATGGGTGGTCCCGGGGATCGAACCCACTACCTTGGCGTTACAAGCGCCGTGCTCTACCAGTTGAGCTACAGAGGACCGCATGGTGCTTATAATGCCAGGGTATAGGGTTTGATTACCAGGACCACCCATATGTAAAATGTATGCACACATGACTGTAATTTGCTTTGGATAAAAGTGTCTGCTAAATGGCTTATATTACGTACAGAAAAAAGTTATCTATTGAAAGCAGGAGGCAATCACCCTTTGATTTCCTCACCATTTCAATAAGTGGTGGCACACTGTTAGCATACCACAGATTGTGGCATTTCCAGCCTCTCCTCAAAATGAGATCTGCATGCAGAGAGACCTGCCTGCTTTTAGGGCCCTGCCAAACACTCACTGCACTCAGAAAGCTAAGCTGAATAGAATTTAGACACACAATGACACCTTCGTGTTGCTCTCTCCACAGATTTCAAGGATGCTTTCCAGCTGTTCGACAGGACACCACTCAATGAGATGAAGATCACATATGGACAGTGTGGCGATGTGATCAGGGCACTGGGGCAGAACCCCACCAATGCTGAAATCATGTACGTCCTTGGAAAGCCCAAGGCTGAGGGTAAGTCTATGCAACATTCTATGATCAGTAAAAAAAAAAATATTTTTCTAAAATAAAATAAAAGTTTGCTGATCAGTTTGCTTTCTTTGATGTTTCATCAATAAGCTTTTAACATTTAGCTATTATTACTTTTTATATTTGAAATCTAATAGAGGTAATCATATATTTAATATGTATTATTTTAATTCAATCTAAGTCAATGTTATACATTTCTATCCCCTGTATTGGTAGTAGTGTGGATGGTTTCAATGATATTTGATTTTGTTGTTTCATACACAGAGATGGCGACAAAGATGCTGGACTTCGACAGCTTCCTGCCAATCCACCAACACATCTGCAAAGCCAAGGACCGCGGCACATATGAGGACTTTGTTGAGGGTCTGAGGGTGTTCGACAAACTGGGCGACGGCACAGTCATGGGCGCTGAGCTCAGGCACGTCCTGGCTTCACTGGGTGAGTCCAAGGCCTCAGACATCTTTAACATACATCATACAATAATACAGACAAAAATAGTTTGACCTAGCCTGGTCCCATAATGTATGTGCTGTAACCAACTCTAGAAGAGTTGGCTACAGCACGTACATTATGGGACCAGGCTAAAGTAGGCTATAAAGGTTTTAGGGCAGACTCAATTTCAATGGTATTAGAAAAGGGAATTTAACAGTATTGGTTGTAGGTGAGAAAATGAAGGAGGATGAGGTTGAGCAGCTCATGACAAACCAGGAGGACGCCAACGGCTGTGTAAACTACGAAGGTAAGAAATTATACCCTCTTTTTGCTATAGTTGACTAAACATTCCAAAACATAGCTTTTAAATCGATCAAGATTTCTGTATGTAATTCCCTTGTCTGTTTTTCCTCACAGCTTTTGTAAAACACGTCATGGCATCTTAAAAAGGCTGCCGAGACACCCGATAGTTGAAGACAGGTGATTGTTCATATGTTTATGTAAAGTCCACCACATGTCCCTGATCCCATGTGCTCATCTCATGTGCTCATCCCTATGTGCCCAATTGGATTTCTATTCCATCACATGACAGGACCGACTAACTTCAACTAACTGTTCATTGTTTTCTATCGTTCCCCTTCTTGTTGACTCAAGTAACAAATGTTATTGTACATCCCCACTGTTCATTTGTGGATCAAAACTTGTAATTAAACAGAGTGATTCATTATTACAGTATTTTGCAATACTTTAATTCCGAATTTTACCTACCGTAACTGATTATTTTCCTTGCCATGTGACAGTATACTGTATTGCGGTCTAAGGTCAATGCTCCCTCATGTAGCCTACATCCAATAGAGGGTCTAACTAATATACTTTACCAAACAATCAGCTCACAGTGATAAATGAAAAGAAACTGCAAAAAAAATTACAGAAAAGGAACAGGCAAACTCCATACGGAGGTCCTTCATATTCTTACATCAAAAATGACAATTCTTCTTACTGCATCAAGTTAAGCTTTATGAACAATCTTCAGAAATATACAAAGGGAGTCTTTAGAGGTGGACTCAGTTTGACATCCATATTCTGTAATGTAATATATTTAATTCACACACAGTCAGAAGCCATTGTAGTCTCTCTATCACATACATTCACATTCCAGGCAGACACTATGTTTAATGAATCATGTGGCCACGAAGTGAAGTCTCTGTTCTTCCACTGTCTGGTCTGTCAAGACATCTTTGCATGCTTCACTTAAGTCAATTTCACTTGAAAGGAATGACTCCACTTAAGGTTCTAGCAAATGTCAGAGCTGATTAATTTTGTCGGTGTCCACACAGAACAAGGCCTCCTTTTTATGTCTTCATTCTTCTCTTCTTTGGTTTGTCAAACCACACAACCTATGGCACCTTAATAATGCCACTTGATTTTCCTGATTGCAGACACAAGAGGGCAGACATGTATCAAGTACTGAAAGAAAAATGACTATTAATATGTCAGAAAACTCTTATAAGACCAAATTAATATATTATCAGGATGGATAAGAGCTTAATTTCAAACATAAACGGTCCAAAATCAAGCTAGTTTATAAAAAGTAAAGAGTTTGTTTTAAATATTCCGATAGTGTATAGGCCTACATTATATTAATTGGCTTCTCACCTTCAACAAATAGATGGAGCTAGTGGTCTGAAAACCAGAGACCCATCAGCGGCTGTGTTTGGTTTGTTTAATTGATTGTTTTCAGCAGGAAAACACCCCATAATCACCTGGTATTACAAATCTGATTTAAGATGATTGGATAACTGTCCGATTACAGATCAGCAGGTCTACATCAGTCACCACTATCCACATGATGTCCTTTATTGTTTTTCAATATTTCCATTTCAGTGTACATTGTAATTTACTTACCTTTAATGTGGATAAAATGTCTTGCCAATTTGATTATCTGACTTCTAGGAAGAGTAGAGTGAACAGCAGTCTCTCAACTCATTGTCCTAATGTACTATAGCACTTGGAACATAATGTTGTATTAGCCCCAGTCCCCATGGCTCAACCCCACGAAGACCCCCTGAATGCTGCTCTCTGTACTAACTGACATAGAGATTGAATGCTGCTCTCTGTACTAACTGACATTGAAATTGAATGCTGCTCTCTGTAATAACTGAGATTGAGATGCATTAAGCCTGAATGACTTTAAAGACAAACCTGCTCTGGATGTGACATCTGCTGTCAGTCGTTTCCTGGAGGTACATTGTGAACCAAATACTGCTATACAGTGCATTCGGAAAGTATTCAGACCCCTCGACCTTTTCCACATTTTGTTACGTTACAGCCTTATTCTAAAATGTATTAAATCGTTTTTTCTCCACATCAATCTACACACAATACCCCATAATGACAAAGGAAAAACAAGTTTTTTGAATTTTTTGCAAATGAAATACTATATTTATGTAAGTATTCAGACCCTTTACTCAGTACTTTATTGAATCACCTTTGGCAGCGATTACAGCCTCAAGTCTTCTTGGGTATAACGCTACAAGCTTGGCACACCTTTATTTGGAGAGTTTCTCCCATTCCGCTCTGCAGATCCTCTAAAGCTCTGTCAGGTTGGATGGGGTTGGACAACTATTTTCTGGTCTCTCTAGAGATGTTCAATTGGGTCCTGAGCGCTCTGGAGCAGGTTTCCATCAAGGATCGCTCTGTACTTTGCTCCGTTCATCTTTGCCTCGATCCTGACTAGTCTCCCAGGCCCTGCTGCTGAAAAACATCACCACAACATGATGCTGCCACCACCATGCTTTACCGTAGGGATGGTGCCAGGTTTCCTCCAGACATGACGCTTGGCATTCGGCCAAAGAGTTCAATCTTGGTTTCATCAGACCAGAGAATCTTGTTTCTCATGGTCTGAGAGTCTTTAGGTGCCTTTTGGCAAACTCCAAGCAGGCTGTCATGTGCCTTTTACTGAGGAGTTGCTTCTGTCTGGCCACTCTACCATAAAGGCCTGATTGGTGGAGTACTGCAGAGATGGTTGGGCTTCTGGAAGGTTCTCCCATCCCCACAGAGAAACTCTAGAGCTCTGTAAGAGGGACCATTGGGTTCTTGGTCACCTCCCTGACCAAGGCCCTTCTCCCCTGATTGCTCAGTTTGGCCGGGCGGCCAGCTCTAGGAAGAGTCTTGGTGGTTCCAAACTTCTTCCATTTAAGAATGATGGAGGCCACTGTGTTCTTGGGGACCCTCAATTCTGCAGAAATGTTTTGGTACCCTTCCCCAGATCTGTGCCTCGACACAATCCTGTCTCGGAGCTCTACGGACAATTCATTCGACCTTATGGCTTGGTTTTTGCTCTGACATGCACTGTCAACTGTGGGACCTTATATAGACAGGTGTGTGCCTTTCTAAATCATGTCCAATCAATTTAATTTACCACAGGTGGACTCCAATCAGGTTGTAGAAACATTTCAAGGATGATCAATGGAAACAGGATGCACCTGAGCTCAATTTCGAGTCTCATAGCAAAGGGTCTGAATACTTATGTAAAGAAGGTATTTCTGTAAATTTGCTAACATTTCTAGGAACCTATTTTCGCTTAGCCATTATGGGGTATTGTGTGCAGATTGCTGAGGATAATAAATAAATAAAAATCAATTTTAGAGTATGGCTGTAGCGTAACAAAATGTGGAGAAAGTCAAGGGATCTGAAAACTTTCCGAAGGCATTGTATAGTACGTACTATGACTTTTAAACGGACTACTATTGTATTGTTACAGCTACAGATGTAGGATCTTAATTTGAGCCAGTTTGCTACAGCAGAAAATAATCCTGCAGCAACAGGAAATTAAAGGACATTTTTGTAGGGGTTGATCCATTTTTTGTTAGGGCATATCAAGGCTGACATTTCAAAGTGGAAATTACAAACTTTATTAACCTGTTTAAAACTCAAATACACTACAAGTTTGTATTTCCTGCAGTGTAGGAAAATTGTCAGCAACAAAAGAGTGATCAAAGTAAGCTCCTACATATGTATGACAACAATAGTACTGCTAAAGTACTATCATCATCACAACCTCTTCTACTTTTACAATTGTCACCACCAAATCTCCTTTCACTACCACAGAACAATGATCACAAACTACTGTAGTGTGAAGGCATTTGTGTCTCACCATGCATGTGTCTGTATGTTCATGCGTGCATGTGGCTGTGCGTGTCTAAAGCGATTGGACTATTGGGGTCTGTGTGGTCACTTTTATATGAATTTTATTTCAAGCCGAAAATCCAGCAGAAATGGTGGCGTCATGACATGCCAATCCCTTTACATTGATTTATATTAATTTGTATTGGTAATTAGTTATTTACTGCATATATTATATTATTCATTTAACCTAAGGCAATTCAATCAAACCGGTCAAAGCAATGTTTACGCGGTATCATTGTTTACAATCTACACTACTGCCGATGCACACACACTTGTTATTCTGAAAACTGGAACCATCTACGTGTGAGTCTGTCTGGTAGCAGTGGTCATAGGTTTTTACAGTACCCCAAAATTTTATTTGGCTTAGGGGAAAACTATCATGTTGTTGAGTAAAATAGTTTTTATACTTGTATAGACAATGGATTCACTGTTTCCTTTTTCACTGTCTCCAACCTTGCAATTGAAAAGGCTTCGAAAAATGTAACATGAATACACTGGATGGAAACTTAAAGTGTAGCTATATCAGTGTAAAATAACTCATATTCACCCATCATATGATGTAACAACTGAATTTGGGAAGCAGAAGGACCTACTTACGGTCCAAAATTATGTATCATACCCCTTTCTTCCCCTATCACTTTTTGCTCCACCAAAAAAGGTTGATTCGCTCCTTCTCCTGACCTTGTTCGGCTAACTTTTCCTCTCTCATCTTGAGAAACATTTATAGATCATCACCATCATCATTTCATTTTCCCAGCATCTTGCATCATATATGATTTTATGCATAACCAATGTTACGAGGCCACATTCATATTCATCTTAAATGTTGCTCCAGAAAACATTGAGCTGATTGAAGGTCCTAAGCGTCCTTAGATAAGCTTCATTCATGTAGATATTTAGGATAACTTTTTAATAATATAGTAGCCAAAATAATCGTTTAAGTTTTTGATGGAGATGTGTTGTTGAGGCCCCTTCGCTCCACTTTAAGCGAAAGCGATTGAGTCAAGCAAGTCAAGGACCCCTGTGATATTCATTTAGTTCAGTTTGTGTGAGGTAAGTAATGTCAGATGATGACTAAGTAAGTATATAATTCATGTAAAGAAATCTACTCATAACATACAGTATGCCATAACTTCTACTCTACATGCAGTTATGACATCATTTATTATTAGTCAAGTTAATGATTGGTGAAATGCGACTGAAAATAGTCACAGGGAACTAGAGGGACACATTACAAGTTGTAAGAGGACCCAGTAGGATATGCAGCATCAGATCCACAATCCACCTTTTATACGTCTGTCAAGCAACAGGAGCATTAATTGTCACAACAAGCCTTTATTGGCTTGAATCAGAGATACAGCTAATTGTTAGGGATATATACAGTGGGGAAAAAAAGTATTTAGTCAGACACCAATTGTGCAAGTTCTCCCACTTAAAAAGATGAGAGAGGCCTTTAATTTTCATCATAGGTACACGTCAACTATGACAGACAAATTGAGGAAATAAAATCCAGAAAATCACATTGTAGGATTTTTAATGAATTTATTTGCAAATTATGGTGGAAAATAAGTATTTGGTCACCTACAAACAAGCAAGATTTCTGGCTCTCACAGACCTGTAACTTCTTCTTTAAGAGGCTCCTCTGTCCTCCACTCGTTACCTGTATTAATGGCACCTGTTTGAACTTGTTATCAGTATAAAAGACACCTGTCCACAACCTCAAACAGTCACACTCCAAACTCCACGATGGCCAAGACCAAAGAGCTGTCAAAGGACACCAGAAACAAAATTGTAGACCTGCACCAGGCTGGAAAGACTGAATCTGCAATAGGTAAGCAGCTTGGTTTGAAGAAATCAACTGTGGGAGCAATTATTAGGAAATGGAAGACATACAAGACCACTGATAATCTCCCTCGATCTGGGGCTCCACGCAAGATCTCACCCCATGGGGTCAAAATGATCACAAGAACGGTGAGCAAAAATCCCAGAACCACACGGGGGGACCTAGTGAATGACCTGCAGAGAGCTGGGACCAAAGTAACAAAGCCTACCATCAGTAACACACTACGCCGCCAGGGACTCAAATCCTGCAGTGCCAGACGTGTCCCGCTGC